ACAGAGAGAGGTGGGGGCGTGGGAGCTGTGAAGGGCTAAAGGGCAGGCAGGGAGAAATTTAAAAAATTGGGATAGGAAGACAGACAGATAGGTGGAGAAAGACAAAAATAGTGATGGGCTGCAGGACAGAGACAGAAGATGAAAAAAGAGGGACAGGGAACAGGACAGAAGCACAGAGAGAAAAAGAAAACAGAGAGGTAGAACAGAGAAAGAGGGGGGCTCGTCATCTCGGGGATGCAATGAGCTCAAAAGGGAACTGAAGCACGAGGGGTCACAGAAGCCCACCTCAGGGGCACCCCTGCAGCTGCCATTACTTGTGGCGCCAATGTACCAGGAGACACAAAATGACCATGACCATTGCGCTTGTAAGAAATCACCAGTCCCGCGGCGCCTCCTCGCTGCTAGCCAGCTCACCTCAAACGCTCATCCGACTCCAAAGACAGCCCGCACAGCGCCTGCAAGACCGAAGAGAAAAGCTTCGCTGAGTTGCCGCAGGGTGCTTTGCTCTCAGGTGCCGACTTGGTCGACAACCGCTCATCCATGTGCTGCTTCTCTCCTCTGACGCTACACGCATCACCTGCACAAATCAAAGCAAATAACACATGCCGAGATCCTGCCCCAAACCAGAGCCTGCCTGCACCGACTCCCATCTCCCGCTCCTTTACCTTGCCCAGTTGCCTGCGCTGCTTCTGCCGTTTTCAGGTTGCCATGCTGAGGTGCATGTACCACTTGTAAAACCCAAACAACAAGGGATGCTTATAGCTACACCCACAATATGACACCTGAAAAACACCTGCTACATCAGCCCGCTAGTCATTGCTCACCATGCCCGAGTCAGCTCCAGCACCCATGTCCCACATGGCTTCCCACCTTCAAAATAAAACAAAAAACCCAAACCATAAGCTAGTCCTACAGCCACTGGTCACACCTTCCCCCTAATACCACACACCGACCCACCTTCTTACGAGGCTCCGCTCACCTCTCCTCCGTTGCCCTGCGCAGCTCGTCCCTCTGCATCTGCACAAACCATACTATCGAACAAGTCACCCGGCTGCAGAGCGATAGCTTAACCATTCCGGAGGTCTTGTTCCCATTTAGGAATACCACCTAGAGCCCAAGTACAGCCTGCCATTAAAAGAAATACACAACTCGAACATTAAGCCCTACATAAACAAGCCTTAACACCTTTGAGATTCCATCTGCTCAATGAGCAGCACCCGAGTGCCTCTCCCAGACGGCGCCGGTCATCCCCTCGGCACCCGCAAAATGCTATGGAAATTACCATCCTCGCTTGCTGCCGCTGGCCGCTCGCTCTGAGACGGGCTGTACGGCCTTGGCCAAAACACTCTAGGCATATTTACATTAACCGTACACTCTTAGTGCTAATCTTCCCTGACTCTACCATCGCTACGCCCCCAGGCAGAGCAGCTCCGACCCAGACACAGGCACGCGCAGACCGACGCCGCACACAAACGCTACAAACGACGCCACCCAGAGATCTAAGAAAACACCCGGCAAGAAGAAAGAATGACTCCTGGCCCCGAGATGCCGTCAGGCAAGAAGATCGATGGGGCCGCGAGGAAGAATCTACGGCAGCCCCAGAAAAGTCGACTGCCGTCACCAGTGACAAAAAGACATATAACAAGATGTGTCTGTAACAGGGACGATGGATGCGTGAGAAGCCAGGCTTAAAGACCTAAGAACGTTAAGACGTGGGAAAGAAGTCCCAGAAAAGTGCTCCGGGAAAACAATCCACTCTTGGGCATCGATGCCGACGCTGCCTTAATTGCCGCTGCAAAAAGATGACTATCTGTAAGCTTCTAATACGCGAGACATGCAAGACAGATCTGTTAGACTAATAACGTGAGAAAGGAAGCGCTCGGTTAGCATTACGCTAATGAGCCGAGGCTTGCGAGCCCCCCGATAGTGCTACCGATGTGCCCGAGGGCACAGAGAGCAACGGAGACATGGAGACCCGAGTGAGGTATGGTACGGGACACAGACGACAGGCTACAAAGACTGCACAGTAACACAGACGCAGGCTGGACCTGCCCTGCCCAGCAGATGCTCCTGTTTTACAGAAAGGACCCCGTGCCCTCTCGCTGCCCAAACATGCCCGATCTCAAACCGCCTTCTCCGCTACGCTGATTTTACACCCCCTGCCCACCCCACTGGCGCCCCACGGGCGCCTCCCCCACCCGACCGCCCACCCTCACAAAGATAGCGTCGGCCCCTCAACTTGCCTTTCAGAGGGCTGGGGGTCAGAAACCATCTTTTAAAAGGACCACATTGGCTACCTAGGATGTCACTGCAATCACCCAGATCCTCTTCATCGTCTGCAAACGTGGAGTGCCGTCAGTCAGCGTCACACCAGTCAACACTGACCTCTTCCGCAATGACGCCCTCCTCAGAAGCACCACAGCATTCCGCTCGCTCCCGGTCTAATGCCAGATGTCGCGGCCAGCATCGCCCATGGCACCTAGAAAACTAGAAATACAAAGCAAACGTTGCGCCTGGAAGCGGTCGCCCGCTCAAACAATTCTACACCTCAAAAATCACTCTGTGGTTGGTGTTCATTGCGCACCTTCCTGACGACCGAGGGTTAACTGGTTGCATAGGCACTGACGGGCACATTCCCTCCATCGCTGGGTGCCGACCTACCTTCTGCCGACCTACCTTCTCACGATGCTCTGCCAGCTTGCCAACAGCTGACGGCTGCTCGGCCGCAGCCCTGCGGAGAAGGACTTGGGGGTGCTGGGGGGTGAAAAGGGGAGACCCCCCTGGAGCCCTGCCTCCAGCTCGGGGGTCCTCAGCACGGGAAGGAGATGGGGCTGTTGGAGCGGGGCCAGGGGAGGCCACAAAGATGATCAGAGGCTGGAACAGCTCTGCTGTGGGGACAGGCTGAGAGCTGGGGGGGTTCAGCCTGGAGAAGAGAAGGCTGCGGGGAGACCTGATTGCAGCCTTCCAGTACTTAAAGGGGGCTTGTAAGAAAGATGGGGACAGAATTTTAGCAGGGCCTGTAGCAATAGGACAAGGGGTGATGGCTTTACAGAGGGGAGATTCAGACTGGATATAAGGAAGAAATTTTTTACAATGAGGGCAGTGAGACACTGGCAGGGGTTGCCCAGAGCGGTGGGAGATGCCCCATCCCTGGAAACATTCGAGGCCAGGCTGGACGGGGCTGCGAGCAACCTGATCTGGTTGGAGATGTCCCTGCCCATGGCAGGGGGGATGGACTGGGTGGGCTTGAAAGGTCCCTTCCATCCCAAAGCGTTCTGTGGTTTTATGAAGAGCCCAGGTACAAATCGCACACCCACCCTCAGGCTCCCACATCGAAAGCTGTTGCTGGTCCTCAACGATCCTTGGAGCCCCATCCACAGCCCCACAACCGCGGGGGCTCTGTGCCCGCCCGGCCTCCTGCCGGGTCCCAACACTCTCACCAGAGCCCAGCTCCAAAACAGATGCCACCACACGGCGTGAAGGGGGTATGGGATGCTGCAGCTCTGGGTGCAGGCAGAGGGGTGCAGCTCCAGTTGCAGGCAGGGGCTGCAGGCAGCAGCGCTGCCCACCTTGCTGGACCCACAGAGTACTGGAGTCTACCCCCACCCAGGCACCCTCAAACTGGAAGCACTGGGATCCTCCCATGCCCGAGGCAAAGGGCCTTGCAGCCCCGCAGCTGCCGGGGTGGAGGGGCCACAGCAGTGGGCAGGAAGGGACACCCCACCACTCCCCCCACCCCTTCTCCCATTTGCAGCACTGAGGCCCCTGGCAATCAGCGCTGTGCCAGGACCAGCTGCCTGCACCTGTTCACTCTGGACCCTACTGAGGACCTGGTGTAGCCACACCACAGGGGTCCTCCTGCCCCCCAGCACCCCTTCCTTCCAGCCCCACACACCACCCGCTCCAGTAAGGGGCAGAGAAAGGGGCCGCTATGGTTTAACTCGTTTTATTTAGACTCATAAGGTAACTGCGGCCCGGCTGGACCGCGCACACGGGGCTGAGACCCAGTAGAAACGCAGCAGTAGGTCAGGAGCAGGGTGGGACAGGGTGAGCTGCAGCGGGGCGTGGTGCCCAGGCTGCCGAAGGAATGGTCAGTTGTTAAGAGGAGGGTTTACGAGAGCTGCCCGCAGTCGGTAATGGTGATCTTCTTGCTTGTTTTGCCATCTTTGGAGCCACAGCGCTCCATGGCCTCCACCACGTTCATCCCCTCCTTGACGCGGCCAAAGACAACGTGCTTGCCATCCAACCTGCGGGAGAAGCACTGGTCATGGCTGGCGCCTGGCATCCCCACACAGGGACCTCGGCACCAGGCCTGGCGTGTCACCTCCCTGCCGGGGCGGGCACCAGGGACCCCCGGGCTCGCCCTCCGGCAGCCCCCGACTCACCACTCGGTCTTGGCAGTGCAGATGAAGAACTGGGAGCCGTTCGTGTTGGGGCCGGCGTTGGCCATGGACAGGATGCCTGGGCCCGTGTGCTTCAGGATGAAGTTCTCATCAGGGAACTTCTCCCCATAGATCGATTTGCCGCCAGTGCCGTTGTGGCGCGTGAAGTCACCACCCTGCGAAGAAGCGGCATTTCAGGTCACGGGCACAGAAGACTCTCGAAGCAGGCGCAGCGGCCCTGCAGAGGCCGCAGGCAGGAGGCAGAGCCGCCTTCCCACCCCAGATCTACCAGCACCCAACTCCAACACCCACGTGAGCACCAGATCTCCTCACCCGCCCACCTCCCTGCTGCGGCCCGAGCGCCACGCACCTGGCACATGAACCCAGGAATGATTCTGTGGAAGCAGGACCCCTTGTAGCCAAATCCCTTCTCGCCGGTGCTCAGAGCACGGAAGTTTTCTGCAAAGGAAGAGGAAAACCACCGTGAACGGCTCGTTTTGTCCAGAGCTAGGGAGAGCGTCAGGGTTCGGTGCAGCCGCGGCGCGGCCAGCGCCACCTTTACCAACCTGCTGTCTTGGGGACCTTGTCTGCAAAGAGCTGCAAAGAGAGGAGAGGCCGTTAGTCAGGCTGGGGCGAAGAGCGGCCGCCGCCCGGGGACCCCGCTCCCCTCCGCTGCTCGCGGCCCAGGGACCCCCGCGGGAGGCGGATCCCGGCCAGGCCGGCGGCTGCAGAGCGCTCCCCACCTCGGGCTTTCATCCGGAGGCATCCGGAAACGCTGAACTAACACCCGCGGCATCCAAGCGGCTTTAAACACGCCGCACGCCGCCCCAGCGGGGCAGATGCGCATTCGTTCCGCCGGCTGGGATTAAATTAAAGCCCCGTTTGGGCTCGGCCGTACCGGGGATGCCTCACCCCCCGCGGGCTGCGCGCCCGGCGGGGCGAGAAATGCTTCGCC